CCGGGAGGAAGTGACATCTAAGCTGACCTTGGAAAGGACAAGTGGAAATTTGTCAGGTGTGAGAGGTAGGGGGATAAGAGTTCCAGGCTGAAGGAACAGCCAGTGCACAGGTGGTTCAAGGAGCAGCAGGGAGAGCAGGGTGGCTGGAGCCGTGCAGGTGAGGAGGACGGGAGTGCCAAGGCCATGACAAGTATGGACAGTTCCTGAGGGTGACCGGGAGCCGCCAAGGACTTCAAGCGGGGACGGGCCCCCTGCCGTCTGAGAAGCCTGTCCGCCTGCACAGTGCGGTGCACAGGCAGCAGCGGGTGCCTCCCAGCGTTAGATGGGGTCGCGATCCCCCGCTCAGGTCAGGGGTTGGTGTGAGAATCAGCTGAGGGTCAGAAGGCGGCCTTTTTCTCCTCCATGAGGAGCCTGGCAGCTGCGGCCTCCCTTCCCCCGCCCCCGCGAGGGGAGCAATTTCCAGATTGAAGCGCACCGGGACCTGGATCCCAGCCAACTCCCCAGTCGCTGAAATCTCTTGAACCACAATCCCTGGGCTCTGAGTGGTGGCCAGATGGCTTGGGAGGGAGTCCCAGACCGCTGGGCTTCCTGAGACTCTTCCCGAGGGCCCTTGAGGATTTGGGGGCGCCCAGGAGCACCCAGCCATGCTAGGAGTTGGGATGGCAAGGTTACCTATTTTCCCTTCACCATAAATCAGAGCCGGAGGGGACATTTGAGGTCATCCTCATGGAATCTCCCACTCAATCTGGAAGCCTTGATCTAGCATCCTAACAGGTAGCCATCCAGGCTGCACTTGGATGCCTCCAAAGATGGGGAAGCTCACCACCGCAAATCTGAAGGCTGTAGCCACAGGGCAATTCACGAACTCTGCGAGTTGAACTAAAGAGGCATTACGTGGACTGAATCACATTACAGTTGTGGTCAGCCAAAACCAGAAGACCTTTTTCTCCTACAGGGGTTAAACCAGGTCTGTACCATGGAGAGGCACTGTGGGTGAGGGGGAAACCCTGCGGGGCTCTGAATCAGAAACCCCTGTTCCCGTCTTGACGCTACAACTGACCAGCTGGGAGGCTTGGCCGATGTCCCCACCTGCTGAGCTTCATCTTCCGTATCTGTAACTCCACCGTGCAGTCCAGTAACGTCGTCACTAGTCATGTGACTGAAGGTGACTGTTGAACCCTCGAAAGGTGGCCACTGCAACTCAGGAATGGAACATTTTTTAAAAATTTTAAAAATTTTAAAACGTGAAGCAGTTTTTATGAACATTTTTATACTGATTACACGTTGAAATAATATTTCGGATATACTAGGTTAAATGAAGTATTATTAAAATTAATTTCACCAAAAATGGATTTCACCTGTTTATTTTCACTTTTTTTACCGCGACTACTAGAGAATTTAGAGTGACAAGTGTGGCCCACATTAGAGCTCTATACAACAGCGCCGACTGAGAACGTTAGGGATCAAATGAGGTGGGCGGTCAGGTGTTTGGGGACAATTAAGTTCCAGACAGGTTATGGTTTCCCTGACTGCTGGGTACTCGAGGGGTTGTGTTTTCCATCACACAAGCAAGACATGTTCATTCTAGAAATGAGTGTGTGGAAAAACATTAAAAACAAAACAAAAATTACCCATAACCCCATCACCCCAAGACAGCTACCGTTAAACTTTCTAGAGTTTCTTCTGCGCATGTCCGTCTGACCTAACACTCCCCACTACCACCCTCGCCAGGCTTGTCAGTTCTCAGAGAGGTCACTCGAACAGTTGGCCCGAAAGTCTGGACCTGGAGGAGCCTCCACCAGCCAAATGGCAGGACCTCGAACCTGCCTTCTTGTGACCGTGAGCTCCGGGAGTGGCTGTTGTCTCTGTGGAATCAAGGCCCTCTGCAGACTTAGCCCCCATCCTTCTTGGCCTCTGCCCTCACCTGTGGTTGCCCTGGCACTGCCAGCCCGAGCCTGGGGGGGTCTGCCCTGTCGGTTATTGCCAGCAGTCCCGGCCCCACCTGCTCCCCTCTCGCTGCTCACCTCTTCAGCCAGGAAGAAAGCCCTCTCTGTTTGGGGGGAGGGTGGGAGGTTCCAGAGTGGAACTGCTTGGGTCGCAGGTGGTGGAATTTTTTCCATTTTATCCATCAGCCCTCTCCCTCCCAGAGCCCCTGGGGCAGGGGCCCCTTCTTGCTGTATCTAGAATCTGCGCTCCCTCCCTTCCCACATCTGGGTCTGCCCTTGAGCTGGAACCACCCCGTGTTAGACCTCTTCTTCCTCAGGGTGGCCTTCTGAGGGGCCCTTTGCCCCTGTCTGATGTGATTTTCATCTATACCCCTCTCCTGCATGATCCTTCAAGCACGTCTGTGTGTGTCTGGACCGCAAACCTGCGGAGAGGTCTCTTCCCAGGAGCTCCAGGGCTCCCTGCAGAGCCACAACTATCGTGTACCTTGCTTCTTCACTTAACGTTCAATAGGAACATCTTTCCAGGGACACTGTCACTTCTAACTCTGTTGCATGGATGTGCTGTAACTTTTAATCTACTCTGCATTGATGATTTCTTAAATTGGTCCCAGGTTTTTGCTCTTACAAAAAAGATCCCCTCGTTTATTTTGGTGTTCTCAAATCTTAGTTCTCCCTTCTCAAACATCCAGCAAATTCTGCTGGATGAGTTGTGCTGGACCCCACTCTCCCCTGTGTCCCCCTTGGCCTGGCACTCATGGCCACCCTCACTCCTGAGCTCAGTCTGTCTTTTCTGCCCCAAGAGTCACTGTGCCTCAAATATGCCCTGAGCTCTGGCCATGTTAAACAGCAGTGTCCCCACACTTTCCAGCCTCTCAGCCTCCCTGTTGAGAGTCCGCTCAGAGTCCGCTGTCCCACTGCCTGGCACACCTGCCGCATTTCCAAATTCTCCTCAGCCTCCAAGAACCAACTCAAATGCCCGCTCCTCCAGGAAGCCCTTCTTGACTCTCCTAGCTGCAAGCGCTCTCTCCCCCCTCTGAATAAAGATAGCACGTCCTTGTCCCCTCCCATATGGACTGATGTGTCCACCTTTTGCACTGGTTACTTGAGTCCACTTGTGTCCCGAGTGTCCATGTCTATCTCCTTCACATCCTCCACCCCCCGCCAGACCAGGAGCTACTCGAGGTTGGGGACTGATTCTGATTTCTTTCTGTGGGCACAGGGCATGGTACAGAGTGGGCATGCCCTAAAGGTTTGAATAAGTTGAGGCCTAAGTTCTGGTCCAGGTAGCCACTGGTGTTCTGTGTGACCTCAGGCAGGTCCTCCTCTCGGGCCATGGCTTCCCTGTGGCCTGAAGTAGTTGGACTTGGCCATGGGGAAGTCTGTGGTGGTCAGAGGACCGTTGGGCCCCAGGCTGATGTGCTGACCCTGGCCTGGGGATAATCTCTCTCGTGGACAGTGATTGCAGGGCACCCGCATTTCCCCTGGCCACACAATATCATTACGAGCCCTTCAGGATTTATGTCTGAGACCCACCCTAAGCCTGTCACCAACATACGGCGTCCTGGCAGACAAGGATGAATGGAGATTGTAAACACTGACTCATTCATTCATTCATTTATTCACTCCTTCATTCAGCAAACTACTACCAACCTGCACCCCAGCAGGGCCCTGTGCCTGGCTCTGTGGACCCAGGCCCAGCCCTGGAGGCACTTCCAGTAACCAGCAACTCAGTGAGGTGGCGCTGGGACAGAGGGCAGCACGGGGGTTGTGGGAGCCCAGAGAAGGGGCCTTCACCCTGCCTGGTGGTCAGGGAAGGCTTCCTGGAGGAGGAGACCCTTAAACTGTGTCTTAACAGCAGAGTGAGCCTTCGCTACAGCGAGCAGGCAAGAGCGGGTGCTGATGGGCAGCCGTTACAGCCTGGGGTCGGGAGGGAGGAGAGGCTCGCCCTGTGTTCAGTCCTGATGCTGGATGCTGCCTGTCTGTAGCCTAACGATAAGAGGAATGTGGATGGGGAAGGATTATCTGCTCTTGTTTACATGATTAAAACCAGACAAATACTTCCTTTATCTGAAAGAATGAAAGAGCTTTGGAGAAAAATCCTTTTGGCAGCAACGCACAAGCATTTCCTTAACTAATCTCTCTTTGTTCTCCTCCGACCCCGCCCCCTACCCCATGAGAAGAGTAGCTCCAGGCTGACCTGCAGTGGTGGTCAGAGAGCCCAGGTCAGGGCAGGCAGAGGTGGGGAGGACCCAAGAGGAGAGAGAGAACCACAGTCCCACGGAGGGGAGTCTGGGCCCAGGGACTAATCCAAGACAGCCACAGGGTGGCACCTGTCAGGGACAATCCAACCATGGCCCCATTTTATAGATGGGGATCCTGGGGCCCAAAGATTGGGGAGTGACTTGCTTGCCTGAGGTCACATAGCCAATGGGCAGAGCTAGGACTAGGACCCAGGTCACCAACCCCCAGCCCAGGGCTCTACCCCACTCACTCACTCATTAGTTCGTTCCACAAGCCTGCAGAAACCACCTGCTTGGTGGCAGCACCAAGAGTTCACGCTGGGCACTGGGGACCCACAGAGAAGTCAGAACTGTCCCTCTTCTCACGTGTCCTCAGTCTGATGAGAGAGACAGGTAAACAGACTGTGACAACCAGGGTCATGACAGAGGAGGCCGGGGCTGTGGGAGCCCCAGAAGGGGCTCCTAACTCTGGGGGAGAGGCCGGTAGTCCACGCAGATTTCACCAAGGAGGTGACACTGAGCTTGGTCTTCTCTAGTGGATAGGAGTCAGGACGCCAAACGGGAAACAGCACATGGAAAGGCCTAGAGGTGTGAAAGGCTTGGCTGGTGACCCTGGGCATAGGGGAGAGAGCAGAGCAGAAAGAGAGGCTAGAAGAAGCTGCAAGGACTGGATTATTGGGGGGACCCCCACGCCTGTACATTCCCTGCAGCACTGTGAGGGTGCTGGGCAGAGCCAGGAGGGGGGAGGGTGGGTACGCCTGAGTGCCTGGCCAGGGCCTGCCCCCACAGACCCTGACCCACATTGTTCTCCCAGCTTGATGTCTGGCCTCGCCTCCCTGGATGCCAAGACCTCCAGCCGCCTGGGCATCCTCACCGTGGCGTACTACCTGTGGACCACCTTCGTGGCAGTCGTCGTGGGCATCATCATGGTCTCCATCATCCACCCGGGTGGCGCGGCCCAGAAGGAGATTACAGAGCAGAGTGGGAAGCCCATCATGAGCTCAGCCGACGCCCTGCTGGACCTCATCCGGTAACCCTCGCCACTGACGCCCAGGCTCCACGGACCAGCCCCACACGTCTACCAGAGGCAGGATAGGGCATGGGGGCGGGTGCTCAGGGTCTGCTCTTGATTATTCGTGGTAACAAGGGGGCAGCCACAGAGGCCCCGCAAACAGCGTCTCAGCTCCCTCGGCCCCTGGGCCTCCCGCTGGGTCCACACCCGCTGTCTGCCTCCGCCAGGCTGGGAGCCCATGGCAGGCGGGCAGGGTCTGCTCCTCGGGCGCCCAGCGCGAGCACTCAGTCTGGCCCGGGGCAGGCGTCAGTGAGCGACAGTCCCTGACTGGACCTGCGGAAGGCCAGCAGTCACTGGTTCCCCCACTGCCTTTCTTCATTGGTCCCCTTTTTACAGATGAGGAATGAGGCTCAAAGAGAGGATGTGACTCGGCTTGTGGAGCCAGGATTCAACCCGGGCCTGTCTGACTCCACGGGCAGCGCTTCTCGCCCTGTGGCCCCCCTGCCAGAGCCACGCGGGCTCTGCTAACCATGTTTCAGGGACTGAGCCCTCTGCCCAGGAAAGCGCTGCAGACCCAGCGATCCGCCCACATCTGACTCCGTTTCCCGAGACTCCCTCCAGGCCACCCGTCTCCTCTGTCACTCATTCACCCTCCCAGCAATGCGTAAGGGCACTGCAGCCTGGCCCTAGTCCTGGAGGAGAGAGAGGATCAACAGAGACAACATGGGGGCGGGGTTGCGATGGGGGAGGCAGGGGCTGTGGGTGGGGGCGAAGAGCAGGGTCAGAGGAGGCAAAGCTGCCACAGTTAAAGGATGGAAGGAGTGGGGGGGCAGGGGTTCCCGGGAGGGCCTTCCTGGTGAAGGGAACAGCTGTGCAAAGGCCCTGAGCTGAGAGAGAGCAGTGTGGGGAGAAATTACAGCCCACCAGCGTGACTGGGGCATGAGGTGTGGGGGAGTGGACAGTCGTTGCTGGAGAAGTGACTTGGGGCTGGACCGTGAAGGGCATTGTGAACCAGGCTGAACATTGTGTTTTATCCTAAAGGCCACAGGAAATGGTTATAAACATAGGAGGGGCATGATTAATTCAGAAGGCTCACTCTGGCTGCCAGAGTGCTGGTGGGTTGGGGGGGTGGGGGTGGGAGGGGAAGACAGAGGCAGGGGCTGGGCCAGGGTGGTGGCCGAGGGCCTGGGGGCAGAGGGCACGCTGCAGGGCTGCTCAGGAGGTGGAATCAGCAGGAGATGGGCAAGGTGGAGGGGTGGGTGGAGGAGATGGTGGTGCTGATTGTGATGGCACGAAGGTTTCTGGCCTGAGCCCCCAAGCGGAGGGGCTGAGGCCACTGAGCCAGAGGACGGTGCTGGAGCAGGTGCAGGCTTCCCGGGGGAGACGTCAGCTGATGGTTGGCTAGTGGATGTGAATCTTGTGGGAAAGTCTGAGCTGGAGATCAGCAGGGAGGGACGTCAGGTCGTCCCTAATGGTGGAGGGGTCTCCTGGGACAGTGTGTGAGGAGAGCGGGGCCAGGCCAGAGGGAAGCACCACATTGGAAATGGCTTACTGGGCTCAATGGGTTACCCCGTTAAACTTGCTCTGTGGACTCCTTCTAGTTCCTCCCATTTTCTGGCCAACTTCAGATATAAGAAGTTTAGTCCGGTCTAATACTAAAACTCCAGACAGCTCCAATTTTATTTGTGTGTGTGTGAGGAAGATCAGCCCTGAGCTAACATCCTTGTTAATCCTCCTCTTTTTGCTGAGGAAGACCGGCTCTGAGCTAACATCTATTGTCAATCCTCCTCCTCCTTTTTCTCCCCAAAGCCCCAGTAAATAGTTGTATGTCATAGTTGCACATCCTTCTAGTGGCTGTATGTGGGCCGCGGCCTCAGCATGGCCGGAGAAGCCGTGCGTCGGTGCGCGCCCGGGATCCTAACCCGGGCCGCCAGCAGCGGAGCGTGCACACCCAACCGCTAAGCCTCGGGGCTGGCCCCAGACAGCTCCAATTTAACACGAATCCTGCCCTAGTCTTTTGCATCTGAGTCAGACTCAGAAACCTGCAGTGGGAAGAAGATGGGACTGAGTTTTCCCTCTCCGGCTCCACCTACGCCCCTGTCGCTAGCACTGGGGCTGGAGCAGTGGAGAGAGCGGGGAGTGGGCTGGGAAGGTCCTCCCTCCCTGGTGGTGGAGTGAGCCGGGGTTGTATTTCCTCAGGGATGCTGTTGTGGGTTCTTTGGAGCCCCTCCTATCCCTGAGTCTCTCACCTGTTACTCTCTTGACTTAGGCAATCCCTGCTCCATCTAGCTGCTTACAACACCCTCCTCAGGCCTGACATCTGGTCAACTCTTCTGCTGGAGTCACCTCACCCCTCTGGGTGGCCCTTGTAGGCAGGGTCCCTTCTGCAAGGTCCACATCTGGCCCATGGGAAACATACAGATCCTTGCTGGAAGTACAGGCCTTTGCCGGGGTCTTTGGGCATGAGTCAGGCACCAGCTCCTACGCTCTTCAAATCCTAGGGGACCCAGCCGAGGGCTCTGAGTAGTTCTCTTGGATTAGAGTTGAGGAGAAACACTCCTCTCCTCCCCTGTGGGGACAAGTGCCCAGCACACAGTCTCTCTTCTCTCTCAAGAAACTCTCACCCTCTGTATCGGTTACTTATTGCTGTGTAACAAACCACCCTAAGACTTAGTGGCTTAAAACTACATCCGTGAATCAACAGATCAGCTGGGATGTTCTGCTGATTTGAACTGGGCTCAGCTGAGCTCACTCATGTGCCTACAGGTAGCTGGTGCTCAACTGGGGAACAGGATGATCTTGGCTGAGCTAATTCAGCTGTGCTACTTGTGGTCTGATCCTCCAGCAGGCTAGCCTGGAGTTATTTCATGGTGGTGACAGGATTCCAAGAGAGAGCTAGCCTGGGCATGTTCTTGTGATGAAGGTAGAGGAGCAAGAGAGGAAATAGAAACATGCAAGTGTTTTTTCAAGTCTCTGCTTTTATCAAGTCAGCTAACATCCTATTGGCGGAAGCAAGTCGTGTGGCCAAGCCTAGACCCAGGGTGGGAGGGGACAACAGTGTTACAAGGCAAAGGGCATCCATTAACTGGGACCATCGACGCTATCAATCTACCGCTCCCTCCATTTTCCAGGTTCTCTTTTATCCTTTGAGATGTGTGATAAACTGAGGATCACAAGAATGCTTGCAATTCTGTTCCTGTTGTATGGTTCTCACCCACGGGGGCTAGAGCCAGAAAGAGGGGTCCAGGCAGGGTCTGTTGCATCTGCACTTACTCGCCTGGTGATGTTGTCCTTACCGTGGTGGTGAATACTTCCTGCACGCTGACTCTCCCGAATTTTGTTTCCAGCCTGGAAACCTCTCACCTGCGCTCCAGATTCTTACGTTCGGTTGTCTAAAGGCATCTTAAAAGTGACATGTCCGAAGCTAAACTCTTGATTTCCCCCACAAATCTGTCCTTTCCTCAGTCCTGCCCGTCTTGGTTCCACGTCTCTCATTCTCTCATCTCCTGCATCCAGTTTGTCAGCAAATTCTGTCAGCTCTGCCTTCCAAAAAATATCCCAAACTTTGTCCCTTCTGTCCCCCTCTGTCACTCCCACCATCGCCCAGACCAGCATCACCTCTCACTTGAGTGTCCACCGTGGTCACCCTGCTTTCTCTCTGCTTCTCTGCAGTCTGTTCTCCCACAGCAGCCAGAGGGAGCCTTTTAAAAACCTGCTCACAGTCGATCACATGTCGACAAAATCCGCAGTATTCGCTGTGGCCTGCAGGCCCTTCCTGACCCGCCCACCACATGCACATCGGCCTCTGACCTCCGCTTCGACTAGCCCTCCCCTCGCTCCAGGCACGCTGGCCTCCATGCCATTTCTCCAAATGTCCTTAGAGTCCCGTCTTGGTGCCCTGTCCTCATCGCTGCCTCCGTCTGGATGGCCCTTCCTGCAGGACGCATGTGGCTCCTTCCCGCTCTCCATTCACACCTCTGCTCTGTGTCCTCTCTTCAGAGGGGCCCCCAGCCTCTGTCACTCTCTCTCCTCAGAGCCTTTATTACTACATGACATTATCATGTCCCTGTCTTTATTTCTTGTCATGGCTCCCCCGCCAGAATAAACTATGCTCCAGGAGGGCTGGATCTTTAAAAATCTGTTCCCTGCCATCTCCTGGAGCCTAGAACAGCACCTGGCACAGAGGAGAGGCTCAGTGTTTGCGAATGCAGACGTGGGACAGGGGGTTGGCAGTGGAGTTGGGGTCTGAAGCCATGAGAGGAGGTGGATGGGCACAGGCAGAAAGTGCGAGTGTGCGGCACGGAGGCCAGGGAGCCTTGGCCACAGCCGCACTGGAGGCTGCGCAGAGCACAGAGCAGGAGCAAGCTGAGGGCCAGGAGAGAACCAGTAGGGCAGATGTCCTGGAAGCCAAGGGAAGAGGAATTTCGAGACACTTCCTTTCTAAGATCCATTGTTTCTCAGATTTGATGACTATGATTCATCATTTCTTGGATTCTGTGATTCAAAACAGCCTTTGCTCGTGGTTAAAGGAGTCGGTGCTCGGGGAGCCCCGCCCTCCCCACCGCGGCCTCCCCTGCTGAGGGGCTGAGGGCTCTGGATCAGACACACGTGTCAGAGTCAGATGTTCCAGGAGCCGTTCCTGCTCTCGGTTGCTTTTCACGTGGTGAAAATTGATCCTTCTGGTTTGAGGTTCTTCCCCACCGCTCTCAACCCCGAGGCACGTGTTTTGCAAAGCTAGGTGGTTGGACCTCTCTGTCACCATTCCTTGGTCAGGGAGCAGGCTGCAGACAGAGATCACATGCCTCCTGGTACAGGGAGCCAGAACACTGGAGACATGAGGTCTGGTCACAGCTCCGCCAATAAGTCACTATGTGGCCCTGGGCAGCCAGCCCCCCTCTCCAGGCCTCAGTTTCCCCAGTGGTTTTCTAGATCCCTTCTAGCTCAGTGGTTCTGAAACACAAAGGCCTACACCAAGTGAGGAGCCTGCAGGGCATGAGCAGAAGCTTCTGGAGGGGGTTCTGGGAGATGAGGTTGGGAGGACAGTGCAGAGCCCAGCCTTGAAGACCAGGAATCCAGCCTGGGGCGTTGGCTGCTGTGCTTTAGGGACAGGAAGCCGGTGAGTTTGGGAAGGGTGGACTGGGGCAGGGCGGAGCGGACAGGATGTGACTGGAGGCAGGGGATGCCCCGGGCAGGGGTGCAGTCACTTCGTTCCATTCAGCCCACCTTTGTTAAGTGCTTGGTCTGGGCAAAGACACTGTGCTGGGCCCTGGGGGGGAGGGGCAAATACAAGACCCCGCATCAGGCTGCCCACCGTCTTAGGACAGAAGAGAAGAGTGCCTTGGACAGCCCCTCTCTAGACCCCTTCTCGCTCTGAGGTTCTGAGAGGCTGTGCAGAAAATGAGGATAGCAGGGGTAAGGGGACCAGGGGCCCCCTCACAGTCGCTCTGGCCCGGAGTGGTGCCCTCCAAGTGCTGATAACTGAACCAGAACAAGGACGACAGGGCAGGGCCCTGGGCACTGGGGCAGGTGTGACAAATGAAAAGTGAGGAAGATGTGGGGCCACCTGGACAGAGAAAGAAGGCCCACAGCTCACCTCAGGGGTGGGAAGATAGGCATCCAGATCTCAAAGATGGTTCCAGAGGAACACAACAGGCCGCGTCCCTGGGCAACTCGCCAAGACATGAATTCATTTCCCAGGGCTCCTAGCGGGGCCTCCAGAACATGACGTCTGCTCCCAGGCCAGCCGCACAGAAAAAAGCCCAAGCGAGCGGAACACGAATCAGAGCTGGGCCCCTCCTTTTTTTCCAATCGTATTAAAACACCAGAGAGATTAAGTAATGACTTGGCTCTATTTATAGCTCCCACTTACCCTCTCGGGGATTGGATGACACTCTCGGGGGCTGTGCTTGGAAAGGAACAATTCCCACCTTTGGGATCTGGGTTGGGGACATGAGATCAGGGTTAGTTTGGGACGTCACGGTGGGCACAAAGAATAGTAAGTGAGGCGAGGAGCTGGTGACCGGTGGCCTCGCCCCAGAGATGTGCAGGGAGGCCCAGGGCAGAGTGCGTGCCCACTTGAGTGGCATGGCCATTAATGTCTCCCAGTCACGTTATGCCTGCATTTTGTGTAAATGCCACCAGGAGCACAGGCCTCATGGGGCAAATAGGAAGACTTCCTGTGGGTGCTCAAAGCCAAAAGAAATTGTTGTAGATTTTCCCGTTTAATAATCAAAAGTATAATTCTGTATTAAAATCTGCATGATAAGTTCATTGATTATTAGTACGAGCCTGTGTATTTGTCAGGAATTGCTTTTGGCGACTAGTTAAGAGAGACCTGAAGCAGCAGAGGCTTAAGTAAAGTAAAAGCTTGCATTTTCTCCCAAATAGGCAGTCCAGAGGTGGGCCACTCATGGTCATTAGGATCCTCTACTCCCTCTACCGTGCTTAGCACTTGGCTTTTATCATCAGTGTGTCTCATGGTTCAAGAAAGTTGCTGAAGCTCTTGCTATTACGTCCATGTTCCAGTCAGAAAGAAGACAGTTGGAGGAAAGGATTAAAGGGTCCTGGCTGAGTTGGGCACCTTTTCAAGAGTTTTCCAGGAAGCGGCTCCCACTTACATCTCATTGGCCACCCCTTTGGCAAAAGAGGCGGGAAACAGGGATTGATGACAGGGCCTGTTGGTCCCCATAATATCCCAGGGCTTCTGTTAGTAAGGAAGGAGAGAATGAGGATGTTCTGCATTCAAATAGCCATCCTTGCCACAGCATACATTTTAAATTATTCTAATTTTAAATGAAGTTGTAAAGAAACATACATACTAGGTGTAAGTTCCATTCAGTTTCTTAGGACCTGAGGAAGATTTGCCCTGGGCTAACATCTATTGCCAATCTTCCTCTTTTTGCTTAAGGAAGATTCTCCCTGAGCTAACATTTGTGCCCATCTTCCTCTGTTTTGTGTATGGGTCACCGCCACAGCATGGCTGCAGACGAGTGGTGTAGGTCTGTGCCCTGGAACCGAACCCGGGCCACCGAAGCAGAGTGAGCCAAACTTAACCACTAGGCCACAGGGACGGCCCCTCTTAGGACCTTTTGAATGTTCTTAGTTTCTGCTCAGGCTAAAGCAGCCTTCTCTCTAAGTTTCATTAGAAAACTACCTCGTAAGTCACTCAAGCCTCCTGGAGCTGTGCCCAGGAGAGATTTTCAAGCTATTAGCCATTGGTACAGCGTGGGCCTCCTCCTCTCTGGTCTTGAGCACCCAGGGCCGGTGGAGTGTTGCATTCTGGCGGGCTGCACGCCCGCACGCCCCCAGCACTAACCCTGGCTTTGGGGCTATGGGCCTGGGTGATGTCAAAAGCCCTTGCAGGCAGCTACTGTTCTGGTAGCAGAAATCTGCTTATAACTCGTTGAAAAAAAGCCTCATTTGAGCTTCTAGCTCAGCTCCTGACTCCTGCTTCTTCTCTCTCTTGTGACAAAGCTGAAATTAGTGGGAAAAGCTGTGACCGTTCTTTCCCAGTTTTCTGCCCCGTTGGCTCATTCTAAGCCTCTTCCTCCTGCTGTACACTTACACTGGACCTGTATTTTAGCAGCAATGAAAAAATTATAGTTTCTGCTTTCCAACAGTGGTTACTGGGGTGTAAAGTTGAGAAATAATGTGCACTCATGTTCACGTATGTAACTCCATGTGTGTGTGAGCTGAGTCTTGAAAGAAAAGAGATTTGCCAAGAACGAGAGTAGGTGGGAAAGACGATCCAGGTAGAGGAGGCACATGGCGTGTTCAAGGAAGTGTCAGCACGGGAACAAACAAAATCTTTGTTAGCATCTCTGATTTAGAACAGATTCCTAGAAGCGGATCCTAAACACAAAGATATAATGCCTAAGACCCTTGATATGAATTGCAAATTGCTTTACAGAAAGTTGCTGCCAGAACCACGTGAGGGTGCCCCTGTCACCAGACCTCCTCAGCCTTGTGTATTGTCATTCAAAAAATTCTTTACTGGGGCTGGCCCCGTGTCGTAGCAGTTAGGTGTGCGCACTCCGCGGCCCGGGCACGCACCGATGCACCGCTTCTCCTTCCATGCTGTGGCGGCGTCCTATATAATGTGGAGGAAGATGGGCACAGATGTTAGCCCAGGGCCAGTCTTCCTCAGCAAAAAGAGGAGGATTGGCATGAAAGTTAGCTCAGGGCTGATCTTCCTCACACACACAAAAAATTCTTTATCAGTTTGATAGGTGAAAATGCCTTTAATTTATTGATGAAGCTGAGCATTTTTTTAAAAGCTTTTTTGGTGACTTAACATTTCTTCTTTGACGAAGTGAAGTGCCTGGTCATGACTTTCAATCACTTTTTGTTGGAGTGTTAATGTTTTTGTGGTCCGTTTATTTATGCAGCAGATATTTACCAAGTGCCTCTTATGTGCCAGGCACTCAGGACTCAGCAGAGAACAAAGCGGAGGCCTGTGCCTTCCAGGGAGCTGATGTTCTGGTGAGGGAGACAGACAGTGAACTTGGAAGCAAGGACAAGATGTGTAAAAGCTCTTCAGAAATTTAGGATGATAGCACTTTGTCATATGGCTTCCCCAGTTTTTCATTTGCTTTATAATTTTATTTGTATTTTAATCTGTCTTAGAAAGCTTCTTAATTTTTTTAGCTTTTTATTTTGGCATAATTTTAGTTGTACAGAAAATTTGTAAAGATGATCCAGAGAGTTCCCATAGTCCCCTCACCCAGCCTTCTCTGGTGTTAGCAGCTTACATAACCGTGGCATGTTGGTCAAAACCAAGAAATTAAATTAGTACAACACTATTAACTAAATGACAGGCCTTGTTTGGAGTTCACCAGTTTTTCCACTAATGTCCTTTTTTTCTGTCCCAGAATCCGATCCAGGACACTAGGTTGCACTTAGGAAATTCTTAATTTTAACGTAGTAAAATCTATTGATTTTTTATTGTTCATTTTGTTCTTAGAGAGTCCTTCCATACCCTGAGATCTGATAAGATATTAACCTACACTTACTGCTAGCTTTTTATGGCTTCATTTCTTAAATTATTTATTTCTCTAAACCATCTGGAATTTATTTTGGTGCAAAGGGTAAATAAGGATCCAACTTTTATTTTTCCGAATAGTTGGTTGGCCGTACAGCACTCTATAACGAATCCTTCCTTTCCTCGCTGATCTGTGAAGCAACTTTCATCCAATATGAAATACTTAGATGGACTAAGTTCTGTTTCTGGGCCACAGGTTCCGTCACACTGATCTTTCTGTGGGCAGCTGTGTTGTTGTTGCACTGTTGTGACAGTTACACCTTCATGGTATGTTTCGTATCTGGTGGGACAAGGCCCCTCCTCCTTTAGCTTTATGAAAATAATATTATAAGAGAATAAAGGTCCCACTTATGTGCCAGATCATATGTTGGGCGCCACAGATAAGATATGAATGGCCGACTCCCGCCTCAGGGAGGCCAGTCTGGGGGGAGGCAGACACGTGACTGCAGCGTGCTGGAGCGTGAGTGACCCACAGTGGGGGAGCCATGGAGTTGGTCTGGAGCAGACAGAGAAGGCTTGGCCTCTGCTTGATTGGAGTAGGAGTTAGCCAGAGAAGCAGATAGGGCATTCCAGGCAGAAGGAACAGTGTGGACAAAGGCCTAGATGCTGGCAAAGTATGCATCATGTTTAGGGAACTGTATGCAATTGGTGTGGGAGCTTTAAGTCCTGGGGGTGGGGATGGCCAGAAGTGGGAAGAGGTGAGACGGAAGAAGGAGGTGGGGCTGCATCATGGAAGGCCTCAAGGGCCAAGGGATGTGTTCAGATGACCCCAAGGGCCCTCCTGGCCTGGAATCTGGAATTCTTCAATTCCTGACTCTCTTCCCAGGAACATGTTCCCAGCCAACCTGGTGGAAGCCACATTCAAACAGGTGAGTGGGTCCCTGGGCAATGGAGGGTGGGCAGGCAGGGCCAGCCTGGGCCCAGCTGGGAAGTGTCAGATTTACCCAGCAAGTCTCCCTATCTCCTGGGGGTGGGATGCTAAAGGGGAGGGGAGGTGGGGGAACCTAGAGCCTTAGAGCCTCCCGTGGCTACACTCCTGCCCTGGGTTCCAGCTTTTCATGAGGAAACATGATGAGGGTGGAGGGAAGACTCTGCTCTAGGTACGCCTATGCTCACACACAGCGCCTCATTCAGCCCTCACAGTAACCTGCCCTCAGGAGGGGTTAGCCTCCCTCCTGGATGAGGAGACTGGGGTTCAGAAGGATTCAAGGATTTGCCCAGGGTCAGACCATTAGAAATGTTAGTGCTAGTGGGTAAACCCAGGCATATTTGCTTCTAAGCCTGTTATCTCTTTCTTCTTAAAATAATCCTTTTTCCCTCTAATAAGAATAGTAATAACATTCACTATAAAATATTAGGAAAATACTAAAAAATATAAAGAAGAAAATAGAAATTCTCTCTAGTTCTGGCACCTAGCAATAGTGGTAGGAATGGGTCTAGTCTTTTTTCCTCTACATAAATACATTTTCAAAAATAAAATTAGGATCATGGTGCATATACAGTGTGCATCTTGCATTTTTTTTCACTCCAGTTTTATCATGAGCATTTTCTCCAGTTATTAAGTGTTTCTTAAAAAATACAATATTTGTGGTGCTAGAATAGCCTGTTGTAAGACTAGGCTGTAATTTATTTACCCATTTCCCCTTTTGATGGTCCTTTTGGTTGTTTTCAAAGTTTTACTGTTTTAGAAATTATGCTAAACATCCTTGTGCACCAATCTTTTTCTACACTTCTAACAATTTCCAATTCTTTTCCCCTTCTAAAATGTCAGCTGGTTGGTTGACTCAATCTAGCAAGCATTTCCCAACCCCCTTCCCTGTGCTGGGCCCTGAACTGGGTCTGGGAACACAAAGGAGATGGTTGAGGACTGGGGAGGAGTCTCCAAAATAAGGAACAGTGAGACCTTGAGCTAATCACTATATCGTTCCTGACCTCCTGGGTCTTCATCTATGAAATGAGGCAGATGGTGAAGGGCCGAGTGCTAAACTAGGGAGTTTGGATTTTATTCCAACAGTGATGGGGAATTATTGAGGGTGTGAGAGAAAGAGAGAACATCGTTCTATTTCATACCTACCTGGAATGCCCTTTTTCTTTTGGCAAACTCCTACCCATCCTTCAAGACCTAAATCAAATGTCCCCTTCTTTGTGAAGCTGTCTGACTGTCTCAGGCAGAATAAGTCACTCCCTCCCCAAAACTCTCAGAGCAGAAATCATGTCTGGTTCATTTTTGTATCCCCGGCACCCAGCACAGAGTTCAACATTGGGATGATGATGATGAGGGTGATGGTGGTTACAAAAGCAGTAATGGTTATATAAAGCTGACCATATTGTCGGCACTGTTGTCACACTGTCCTATTTAATCTAACGAGCTAGGTACTATTATGACCCTCATTCTACAGATGAGGACACTGAAGCACAGAAACTGTAGGTCCCAAATATTTCCTGAGTGGTCCCCTGCCAAGGCTGACCTTATCGATACTGTGGTGTTGGGAGGACAGGAGACTCCCTTGTTTGGGCTCCTAGTGCCTGAAGACTGAGAGGGAAAGACCTAGGAACGCCCTGGGGGCCAAGGAGGAAAGGTAGGCAGCTCAGCGGCTCAATTCTTCCCAGCTGGGGCCTCATCTCATCAGGAAGGCTTGGGGCAAACTGAGCTTTTCAAATAGAAGGTTCCAGGCTCTATCAGGGGAAGGCAGGGCTGGCTGGCTGTTCAGTGGATGGATAAGGGATGGCTGGAAGGGATAGATGAGTGAATGGAGAATTATCCGGGTAGGTGAGGGTAGGTGAGGAGATGGACGGATGGTTAGAGAGGAACCCCGACGGGTGTAATGATGCATAGAAGGAAGAAGAGGGAAGAAGGGATGGAGCGAGGCATGGCTGGGTAGTGTGTAGATGGATGAAGGAATCTCAGTTTTCTTTTTGATAAAATATTGATAATAATCCCTGTCCTGCCTGCCTCACAGGGTTATTGTCAATCAAATAGTTCATGAGTGGATACAAATGCACATCCAAGATGTTGTTATTGTTGTTGTTGATGATGATATTAATAACAACGCTTGGCCCTGACTCCTTTCTGGTTGGGGTGTCACCCACCAGTACCGCACCAAGACCACCGCCGTTATCAAGTCCCCCAAGATGGCATCGGAGGAGGCCCGCTCTCGGCGGATCCTCATCTATGGGGTCCAGGAAGAGAATGGCTCTCATGTGCAGAACTTCGCCCTGGACCTGACCCCGCCGCCCGAGGTCGTTTACAAGTCAGAGCCTGGCACCAGCGATGGCATGAACGTGCTGGGCATCGTCATCTTCTCCGCCACCATGGGTACGTGCTGCCCACCGCCCCTCCCGCCACAGTGCCCTGGAGCCAGTCCCTCCCTGCATCCCTGCAGCCAGTAGCTGAATAATCTGGAGTCTCCCTGTCTATCTTCCTTTCCTAAGCAATGGAGAGGCTCAAGTCCCCATCCATTGCTGAGGTGTCTCCAGCCCTCCCCCCAGTTGGAGCCAGTATTCCTCACTCGGAATTCCCCATTCTTAGGTGCTAGTTTGCCTCGAGGGGTGTCGGCCCTCCCTCAAAGATGACCATGCCTCCTGCCCCCTCCCAGCAGCCTGTTCCTGAACTTTTTACTGAGGTCTGGGGATACCAGGGGGAGGGTACAATAAAGAACGGGAAAAATCTAAAAACTATCATCCATCACTGTTTATTTAAAACCCTTGTCATCCTCCCCCTCCCCACAGTCACAAGGGCTGCTCACGGCGCCTCTCTCCCCAGGCCTGTCTGGGCCGTGTCTTGGGCCACAGTTGGCTCCCTGGCCACAGCCTTCCCTTTGCTGTTCTTCTCTGGGTCCCCCGGCCCCCACCACAGGTTCTTTACCATGAAGCTCAACTTGCACAGGCCCCCGAGACCTGCAACTTTTTATTTTTATTTTTAAATTTTGTATTCTTTTTCTTAAGGAGGGCTTCAAACTGTATAAGCTTCAGATCCCACAAAACCTCTGGATATGCCCCCGCGTGCAGTGTCCCCCCACCACTGACACTCACGCAATATCATTTTTCTTCTTGGGGACAACTCCTAACCCATCTAGAACAATCTAGCTTGTCAGTCCCAATCTTGTCCTTCTAGGCCATCCCAGGGGTCATTATGACTCTTATTCTAAAATGGGCATCAACCTTCCCCATCGCCCCAGCCAAGGGCCTGGGAGGTCCTCTGCTGCTCCCTGACTTCTCCACAGGGCTTTCTTCTTAAGTAAGAAGCCTCACTGTCCTCCTGGTTACTCGTGCACAAAATCCGGGGGTCATGGTCTACCTGCGCCCTCTGCCTCAACCCACATCCATGTCCCGTCAGGTCTGCCCCTGAATTCCCTCTCCAATTCCTGCATGTCCCTCTGCCCACCGCCACCACCCTGGCTCAAGGTCCCGTCATCTCTCGCCTGGTTTCTGCAAAAGCTGCCTAAAGAGTGCCCTGTCCTGGTGTGTCCTCCTCATGGACAAAGTCCCTGCGTAAAGCCTCCTGTGGCTCTCCACTGCACTCAGAGTGGGGTCCAAACACCGTACACAGCCTGCAGGGCTCTGTGCCTTCTGGCCCAGCCTGCCTCCCGGCTCCTCCCAGCCTGCTCACTTCCCCCCGCAAGTGCCTTGCTTCCTGGAAGGCGCCTCCCTGAGGACCTTCCCACTTCCCTCAGCCCAGCTGCTCCTGCCCCTTCCTCTCCCCTGCACCCTTCTCATCCTTGGGGGCTGGTCTCTGTACAAGATCACGTCTTCAGGAAAGTCTTCCCAGTCCCTGACTGGTCAGTGCCCTGTGTTTCTCCTTCAACGTTTGACGCTACTGCAGTTAGGTAATTGTTTGTGTGATTGTTGAGTGTCTGCGCAGCAGCTGCTGTAAGCTCCACGCAGGCAGACAGGACAGGCTTGTCCTCCACTCGTCCCCACAGCCCACCACGGACTGGTGAAAGCAGGCGTTCAGTGGAATCTGTTGGAGAGACAGTGAATGGAGGGGTGATGATGGATAATGGGGCTCTTATCATCTTGGCCGAAAGGTCAGGCATGCAGAGGCCAGGACCTCAGTGACCGTGTGTGACAAGTCGGTGTTTGGAAGTGCCCTCAGCACACCTGACAGTCAGTCCCCAGTCCTGGACACCCTTCATCTTCCCCAGCCATCGCCTCTCTCTTAGAGGTAGACATCTATTCGTAGAGCAAACGAAATCCTGGAGACCCTTCAACTCCATTCACTGTTTACTGAACACGTGTAACTGTCCATTTATCAGTGTATATTTGTGTATGTGTACCCAGGTCAGCGTGCACCCACGTCTGTGTGCGCCCATGCTTGTGTGTATCCAGTTCTTCCTGTACCTGCATCTGTGTGAGCCCGCATCACTGTGTGTCCACATCTGTGAGTGCCCACATCTGTAGTGCCCACGTTTGAGTATGAGTGAGCACACGCACAGCTGCTCCAAACGTGGCTTTTTTTGGTCCCCTCAACCCAGCCTCCTTTCTTGTCTCCTCCCTGGTGCTGGGTTGGGACTGATGCTAAGGTCTCACTGGCCTTGCCTGTTGGAGGAAGCCCACTGCCACACCCTGGGCCCCATGCATACTAGTGCCCAGCCAGCCAGAGCTCCTGGGTGCCCCCAGGGAAATCTAAGTGGGGCCTGAGGAGGGGCAGGAATAGCCTAGGGAGGGACAGAGCCAGCAGGCCACCTGGCCCTGAGCTCAGCCAGGCTTCCACAGGCCAGATGGGCAGGGCTAGGCCCAGTGTCACCTCCAACTCGGGCCTCTCCTGCCCGCCCAGCAGGGCCCCCACCTCATCTCATCACTGCGCGGTAGCTGTTCCATGGACAGCATGGGCCCAGGGCTTCTTGGGGCAGGAAAAAGCCCCTCTCTGGAGTCCCACAGGCCAGGGTTCAAACCCCGGGCCTGCCTCCCTGGCTGAGTCAGTGGATGAGCCTCTCCGAGTGCAGTGACAGGAAGCTTTGTGAGGGCAGCCACAGTGTGTGTTTTACTTTTGCGTCACCAGAAGGGAGGGTGGTCACTTGCCACTGTTTCAGGAGTGGCCTGGCGTGCTCACTTGCCTGGAGTTCACCTGTGGAATAGTACACACCTGAAGGCCTCCCATGTGAGGAGAGCCCAGAGCCCCAAGGAGAGAATAACAGGGGCTTCAGGAAAGGCTTTATCGCTCATTCATTTTTTCATTCATTCATTCATTCAAGGATCACTGTTGAGCATCCACCAGGGGCCACCTAAGGAGATACGTTGTTGCCTCATGGAGCTGACCTTCTATTGGAGGAGACAGAAAAAACTAGAAAATAACAGTTATAAGTTGTAATAAGTGATATGAAGGGATCAGAGAGGAGACAGAGGAGAATAAATGGGGAGTTTGCCAAGGGGAGTGGGGACGGGCCTCCAGGCCACGTGGAGAGCTGGGCGGCCAGTGTTTCAGGCATCAGAACTTCATAGGCAAAGGCCCTGAGGCTGTGAAGTGCTTGACTCTTCCAGAACTATGAAGAAGGCCAGTGATGCTGGGGCATGGTGAGGAAGGGAAGAGCGGGGCCAGAGGAGGTGGGAGGTGTCGACGGGGGTCAGCTCAAGGGCCTGAAGCAGCAGGGAGCTCTGTTACGGTCCAAGTGCTCAGGGGAGCCGCTGTTTGGCAGGGAGCATGTTTCTCTTAAGAAGATGGCACTTGCCACTGTAGAAAGCAGATTATTGAGGGGGAAGAGATGAGAGCCCTGTTGCAGTCACTGCTCTGGTCCCGTGGCGGGGGCGAGGAGAGGAGAGGAGAGAGTGCACAGGAGGCAGTGGTATATGGAAGCCTGCTGGGGAGTCAGCCAAGGGCTGAGACCCGTGTGTCCCGCAGGTCTGTCCCTGCCTTACCACCAGCATGTGTCAGCATGTGCAGCCGTCGTGCATGCCCGCGCCTCCGTCTGCAGCATCTATGATATGTGTGACCCCCCATCGTGTGTCCCTGCCCCTGCAGGCATCATGCTGGGCCGCATGGGTGACAGTGGGACCCCCCTGGTCAGCTTCTGCCAGTGCCTCAATGAGTCTGTCATGAAGATCGTGGCGGTGGCTGTGTGGTAAGCCTTGTGGGGAGTGGGGGTGTCCTCTTCTACCCCACCAGACCCCCTTCCAGCCCTGCCCTGGGCAGATGGAGGGACACCATGGTCCTAGCCTCCGCTCTCCTAGGAGTGAGCAGAAAGCTGTACGGGAGGCTCAGCCCTGGCCTGGGGCCTCCGGAGCTGCACGTGGTCCCCTGGATCCCCCAGCCCTGACCAGGCCTAGTTCCAGCCCTGGGCCTGCCACTTCTGGCCCGGTCAGGCCCACGGGAGGAGAGCTGAGAGCTAAGCCTGGCTCTGCTCTCCTGGCCCAATTTCCCCATCACATGGAGCCTCATCAGCTCAGTTTTTGCAGAAAGAAAACACTGCAAGTGAGAACCAGCTGCCACTTCTTGGTTCAGTGTTCAGACCTTAGGAATCTTCTAGTCCAACCTTGCACGGTCAAGATGGGGAAATGCAGAGGCCTGCCCAAGGTCATGCACAGGGGTTGTGGCATTGCGGGCTGAGACGTGGGCCTGCGGAGGGCAGGGGTACTCCTCAGAGGCCTGGATGGGAAGGCAGAGGGGCGAGAGGCTGTGCAGGGTTGGGCTGGTTGAGGGTGGTATATTAATGATGCCATGTGCTGGTACACAGTCTCCTTCTGTCCTCGCGGGAGCTCCGGGAGGTTGGGGGGGATCAGGCCAGGCAGTGAGGCAGTCGGTGCCAGGCTGCCTGGGACCCTCCCTGCCTGGCGCTGAGCCGGCTGCCCTCCCCAGGTACTTCCCCTTTGGCATTGTGTTCCTCATTGCCGGCAAGATCCTGGAGATGGACGACCCCACGGCTGTGAGAAAGAAGCTGGGCTTCTACGCAGTGACTGTGGTGTGCGGGCTGGTGATCCACGGCCTCTTCATCCTGCCCACGCTGTACTTCCTCATCACCAAAAAGAACCCCATCGTCTTCATCCGCGGCATCCTCCAGGCCCTGCTCATCGCACTGGCCACCTCCTCCAGGTAGCCCTGGGAAATGGGCAGGACAGGGGAGGTGGCAGTGGCTGCACTCTGTCCATCTGTCCAGCCATCATTTGTCCACAGCCATAGAAGCATGGAAAGTGTCAGTCCCCTCTTCACAAACTTGGGGGTAGCTATGGTAACAAGACCAATATTTGAAATGTAATGCTTGAGGCCCCACCTGCCTGGATGGCAGAAAGCCTTCACTGAGGCCTTCCTTTCCCTGACCACCCACATCCCTACGGTTCACTCGATCCACGTGGGGGTCGGCTTCCATACATCGGGGGCAGGGAGAGCTGAAGAGCGATGAGCCTGCAACTGCTGTGGCCTCTCGCTGCCACAGCGTGCTTCTGTTGGAGTCAGGCGTGCACTGTTTAGGGACTTTGCCTGTCTACTGTCGCTGGGACATCCTGACTGGATGCCCTGTCACAACCTTGGCAGTGTCACTAGCCTATGGGGATTTGAATCTTGGTTCCATCGCCCACTAGCTGTGTGACTATGGGCAAGTCACTTGACCTCCCTGGGCATCAATTTCCTCATATACAGACTGGGGACTGCTGTAGCCTCTGCCTCAGAGGGTTGCTGTGGGGATGAACGGCGATAACCCAAGAAGGGTGAGAAGGCCGGTCTGGGCTGCATGAAGAAGCACCTGCCCTCAGGATCCCAGACCGCAGCCGAGTACAGAAGAGCCCATGAGTTAGAGCTGTGCAAACCTGGCTGTTGATCAGCGGGGGGAGGATATGGTCATTCCTCTAAGGGCATCTAACCTGTGAGGACAGGGTGGTCTGAGTGTCTGAGCTCCACACGGAGGAAGTCGTCCGTGTCTCTGGCGCCGAAGCCTGGCTCTTCCCTGCAGCCCTTACCTACCGCCTTCTCTTCCCGGGCCCTCAGCTTCCCAGTCTCTAAGACCTCCCTCCCTGGCAGCCACTGACCCCACCCCTGACAGCAGAAGCACCTCATGCAGGACTCAGGAAGAGCAGAGCCCCAGTGAGGAAAAGCCCCAGAGGCCTTGACCAGGAACCTCCACCCAGGGCCGAGGCCAGGAGGTGAAAAGGAAAGAGGAAGTCCCAGCGGCTGCCCCCCGGGCCACAGCCTGGGCCGGAACCATGGCCTCGGGCCCAGCATGTCTGGGCTCCATAGAGGTTCCAGCAAGTGGAAGGGGCTCCCGAGGCGTGGCCTGTGGGACCGGAAGGGCTCTGGGGCCACACCAACCTGAGCTTTAGTCCCCGCACTGCCACCAGGAACTCCAGGGAGAAACACAGTGACAGTAACAGCAGCAGCTCAGCGACTGAGTGCTCGTGATGTGCAGACACTTTAAGCGTTTACCGGTTGAATCCTCCCAATAGCCCTGTAATCTAGGTGTTGTTGGGGTGAGGACACTGGGGCGCACACAGGGAAGGAAGCTGCCAGGGCTGCTTGGCTAGCGGGAGGCTGGGATCAGAACCAGCAAGTCCGGCCCCAGAGGCCTGCTGGAAGCCACTTCATCCACGCTTGGCCAGCGGTGGGGCTGCGTCAGCACCTCCGCCTCTCTGGGCTTCAGTTTCCTCGTCTGTAAAATGGACTGAAAACCCCTCCCTCACAGAAGCTGTGAAGATCAAATGAGGGTGTGTGTGCAACACGGAGCCTGGTGCATAGTGGGTGCTCTGCCAGTGGTACCTCCCTTCCCAGCCTGTGGGGGGGGTCTCTGTGGCCCTGGGCCTAGGCGGGTCTGGCTTGGCCGCTGATTGTACACCCCTGAAGGGTGCCACCTATGACTATTTTCAAAACCCCTTCAGCATGTTCTCCCCCTCGATGAGCCAGCTGCCTGGGGCGGAGGTGAGCTTCCCGTCACTGGCAGGCAGGCAGCCCAGAAGCCCTGACCCTCTGGGGGAAGGGTGGTGGGCAGACACTGGCCCCTCTGCCCACAGCTCAGCCACACTGCCCATCACCTTCAAGTGCCTGCTGGAGAACAACCACATTGACCGGCGCATTGCCCGCTTTGTGCTGCCTGTGGGCGCCACCATCAACATGGACGGCACCGCACTCTACGAGGCTGTGGCTGCCATCTTCATTGCCCAGGTCAACAACTATGAGCTGGACTTTGGCCAGATCATCACCATAAGGTGCACTCCTGACACCCCACACCCAGTGTGGATTGCGGGGTTGGGCGCTGGAAGGGCCTTCAGGATTCTCGAGCTCCCAGATCTGATGAGGTCTCTGGGACCCAGAGAGGGCGAGGGGCTCATTCCAGGCCACACAGCAAGTCAGTGCTGGGGCTGGGACATGTCCTGACCTCTGTGACTTGGGGCACGGGGCTCCTTCCCCAGCGCCGCCCTGCAGAGGGAGCTCCAAGCAGGCTGGGAAGCTGAGGCCGGGAGGAGGCCCTACAGTCTGGACACGCAGGGCAGGGAGGGCACTGCAGGCAGGCACATGGTGAGCAGAGGCCGGGGCAGGACTCAGCAACAGCAGAGGAGCCGCTGGTGTGGCTGGAGCTGAGGAAAGGATGCTGGGGTGAGAGGCAGAGGCTGAGGGGAAGGCCTCACATGCCAGCCTGAGGGCACGTCTGACCCTGGGGCCCAGGCCCCAGGGAGAGGCTGGGCAGAGCTGTGCAGGTGGACGATCAGAATCTCTGGGGGAGGCAGCGGCTCCAGACACAGGGTTTTCCACAAACTCCTCGGGAGGTTCTCCTGAGGCCAGGTATGGGGGCCCATGGCACCACAGGACCTTGAGCAGGGACGTGCCCCCCACCCCGAGAACTGCCCCATGTACTTCCTAACAACCACCATGTGGCTGTCCCCAGAGGCCCTGGCATTCTGGCCTCCTCCTTGGATCCAGGGCCAGGACAATGAGCCCTGCCCCTCCTGTTCCTCCTCGTCCTCTCCTTGACCCCTCCTGCAGCATCACAGCCACTGCAGCCAGCATCGGCGCAGCTGGCATCCCCCAGGCCGGGCTCGTCACCATGGTCATCGTGCTCACCTCTGTGGGACTTCCCACTGATGACATTAACCTCATCATCGCTGTCGACTGGGCTCTGTGAGTGGGGTTCGCCCCAGCGCACCCCCCCTGGGGCAGCAGCATTCAGGGTGGGCAAGGGAACGGCCGTGCTTTGGCCCAGTGGAGTGCCTTATTCGTTGATACTGGCTTACTTGCATAATTCGTGGAAGGAACCCAGTTTTCAAAAGTGAAAATGTGGGATCCCTTGCTCAAAAATTATAAAGAATTTCAGGAGGGTGAGAGCAGAGCATTAGACCAAGCCCAGGCCCTCCTCAGCACGGGCCCCGTGTGACTGCACAGTCACACACCCACAAAGCCGGCCCTGCATCAACCCGCCTCAACGTGGCCAAGGGGGTGGTGGGCTCAAGAGGCCCGGGAGAGCCTCGCTGTGGGCTCTGCCTGCAGCCGGTCCGCGGTGCTGCCGGCTGCGCACCGCCCTCTCCCAGCTCCCTACAGTACAGCGCCTGCTGCTCACCGCACCCTCGGCTCCCCAGGGACCGTTTCCGCACCATGATTAACGTGCTGGGTGACGCGCTGGCCGCGGGGATCATGGCCCACATCTGCCGGAAGGACTTTGCTCAGGACGCGGGCGCTGAGGTGAGAGCAGGGCCTCCCTCCCAGCCCCACGCCCAAAGGCCCCGAGGGTGGAGCCGGGGTGGGGTGGGCAGGGCACCGCATCTTCCACGGATGGGCCAGCGGGGCAGCCTTCAGCCAGTGCCTCCATGCCTCGGGCCTCGGTCTCCTCATCTGGTGCAGGGGGTAACTAATTCCTCCAACACTGGTTGCTGAGCACCCCCATGGCTGGCGCCGGTCGAGGCACAGGAGGAGCAGTGGTGAACAGCACAAGAGAAGGGAGCCTGACCTGGTGTGGGGTGGCGACGGTCCTGCCGACAACGATGCAAACATCTGTACGTCTGCACAGGGCCTCACGGTCTTCAGGCTCCTTCAGTAAACATGTGGCAGGGAGGACGATGAGGCCCAGGCAGGGAGCCACCAATTCCCTCACTGGACCCTGTGGGTCAGGTCCCCTTCTCTACTAGGACAGTCCCAGGGAGGCAGGACAGCTTGGAACTGGAGCCCAGAGAGGCCCTGAGACCTATCAAGGCCCCATAGCACGTCTGTAGGAAAACCAATCACGTGGTTCCCAACTCTGCTCGTTCAATCCTCCCTAGTGGCTAACCTCGGTCCCTCCTGCTGCTACCAAGGCCTGTTTCCCCTCCCCAGAAACTGCCACCCTTTGAGACCAAGCCAGTGAGTCTCCAGGAGATTGTGGCAACACAACAGAATGGCTGTGTGAAGAGCGTGGCTGAGGCCTCGGAGCTGACCCTGGGCCCCACCTGTCCCCACCACGTCCCCGTCCAAGTGGAGCAGGACGAGGAGCCAGCCACTACCAGCCTGGACCACTGCACCATCGAGATCAGCGAGCTTGAGACGAACGTCTGAGCTGGCAGAGCTGCAGAGGCCGAGGAAGCCTCCAGGGTTAAGGGCCGAGGGCAGGATCTCAACTCACTACTCACCTGAGCAGCGACAGGGGCCAGGTGCACAAGTCCTTCACACACTTGAGGGGCCGGAATTAGCCCCACTTGAAGGAAAATGGGGTCACGGGGGGGTGACGCATGTGGGTGCCCCAGCCAGAGAGTGATGGGTCCGCATGAGCCAAGCCCCAGCTCTGCGGTTTCCACCAGGTTGGCCTGTAGGGTGGCAGGCAGGGGTTATGGTCCCCACTTTCTGGATCATAGAGTCGAGGCTCTGAGAGCTGAAAATACTTGCCCCAGGTCTCAGAGCAAGCGATGTAAGGGCCAGTACTCTAACCCGAGTCTTTCAAGCCCTGGCCACTCCCTCCCGGAGGACAGGGGGCCTGCAGGGCCAGATGCCGAGAGGCTCTGCCCCTCTCCAGGAGGCCCGCAGCCACTACTGCTTTCAATTTGTGAAGACGTAACAACATCCTGGTCCTGCCTCAGCTGTGTCCCGGCCCAGGCCAGCCCCCCACCCTGCCCCACAACACGTGGCCTCAGACAAACAGCTCTCCCCAAGGACAGGCCCAGCCAAGGCCAAGACCCGCCGCCTTCCACGTGCCACAGCCCACCAGCCGCCCGTCCCACTGGCTCTCTCTGACAAGCCCATCGATGTGGAGACGAGGATGTCTTCACTGGGGCTGCGGGCCCTTAGAATCATCGGAGCCAGGCTCCCACAGGATGGTGGGCCAGCCAGGACCCAGGAGGCAGGCTCGCCTGCCCATGTGGCCCTGGAGTCAGCACTCCCCAAAAGCCTGTGGGATGAAGTGGAGTTAGATTTCTATTCCTTTCTGTGTTTGCAAATTCAGTGATAACTAAATAAAGGTATTTTGTTTTTCAAGTCCTGCAGGCTCAGCGACCATACTCTGGCCAGCATTTCTTTATTGGGCTAAGAAAGGCTGTCACAGTGCAGACTGGCCTTCTGGGCAGCCAGAGTATGGGCAAGCCTCTCCAGGTGGCCACAATATAAACAAGATTGCTCGTGTAACTAGAGTGCAGATAGGTCTGTCTGGGCTGAAAGTGGGAGGACAGGCCTGAGTGTCACACGCAGGAGGCAGAGTGCCCAGGGGCCTGTCCTGACAGCCACAGGGGCACAGCCGGCTCTGCCCCTGGCTTGGGCTCTGTTCTGCAGGCAGGCCCCGAGATCAGTCCCCACAAAAGGAACAAACTTTCTCAGCCGGTCTGGCTCCCTTTGGCGAACGCTTTGCTTTAAGGAGGGGGCAAGCCCAGGGACGTTTCCAGACTGTCTGCCTCCTTCTCTTCAGCCCCGGGGTGCCTCCAGGAGGCTCGCAGGGGACACGCAAAGGCCACACAGATTGTACGAGACACACTTTGGGGATGAGACGCAGCTCCAGAGTTTGTACCATGGAGCTGTGACAACATTGAAGCTGGGGGAGGGGACAGGCCCCCCAAGGTCACTCAGAGAATCAGGAGGCTGTCTGCCTCCCAGCCCCGCTCCTGAACTACCTCCCATCCTCCTCCCAGGGCCGCAGTGTGAGGAGTCCAGGAAAGGCCCTGACCCCAGGATCCCCTCCCACTGGAGGGCTGGGGGCTGTAGGGCCACCACAGGAGCACCCTTCGTTCTTTCACCTCTTCCCCGTGTCACGTCTCTAACGCCCTTCAATCAATGAAGTCTGCCCCACCACAAGGAAGGAATCTGCTCTATCAGGCTTGACAGGAGCCTGCTGTCAAACCTCCAGTAGTGGGGGGGGGGGTCATACTTCCTGGGCATCGCCTCCCCACTGTGGGGCAGCTCTGCCTGTCAGAGGTTCTCCTTTGCTCTGAGCTGGGTGCTGCCTCCTGGTCCCAGCTCTGGCCCCGTTGGGGTGGTGGGTGCACTGGACACGTCTGTCTGCTCTTCCCTGGGCAGGCCTGCAGAGACTTGGGCCCCCAAGTTGGCTCTGTCCCAGCTCCCAGGCCTGCCTCTGGTGCCCTTCCCACTCCAGCTGTCCTCTATGGGACAGACCCCGTTGGTAGTGCCCACTCTGTGTACAGCCTACCCTCCAGGTGGGCCCTGAGCAGCCGGAAGCGGGCAGGTCCTTTGCTTGAATGCTCAGCCTCTGGGAGTGCAGGGTGAGCTCACAGGCCAGGGGCGACGGTCCTGGCCTGACCTGCTGATGAGCCGCACGTGCCTCCAGGCCTCCTTACCTGCAAATAAACCCTGCGTCCCTGGCCCCCTGCCGTGCCACTACTTTGTGCGCCCCGAGAACTGAACTGTGTGCTCACTCCTGCTGGTCAGACAGGCGCTGCCGTGCTTGTGTCCTACCCACCCCCGCCAGGCACCTGCCTGGCACTTGGCAGGAAGCACACACAGACACGGCCACGGGCTGCCAGACAGGGGTAATGCTTTTATATTAGTTTTTCTGTAACAAGAAAAATCAGCTTTGCAGTTTTTATCATTTTTTTTTCCTTAAAAAAGAATAAAAAACCAAAGGTACCCAGAACTCCCCGCAGGCCCAAAGAATAAACAAGGTGTCTCATCGGTGTGACTGGGCCCCTCCTCCTGGCCCAGCCCAGCTCCCGCCTCCGCCTCACTCCTGCAAGGCCCGGGCAGCCCTGGGAGACTGCAGTGGCCTCAGTGGGGCTTGCCCGGGGCATGGCAGGGAGTGACGATGGCCCCAGCAGGGCGGGCGGGCCGGGGCAGCAGTCCAGAAGGTTCCTGTCCCCAAAGGGAGGGAAAGGAACAAAAGCCAGCTTTTGCGAGTTCCAGAAGGCAGCAGGCACCTGGCTGCAGAGAGCTCAGAGATAACTCTGTGTCTTCTCCAGGAGATGGACGGACAGACAGACAGACAGGCAGATAGCTCGCTGTTCTGGCCAGTTCTGGCTGGGGCACGAGCTGTCGGTAGATAGGCCTCGGAGGGCTGTCTGCACGTGACTTGTGTGTGTGTGTGTGTGTGTGTGCGCGCGCGTGTGCACGTGTGTGTCCACAGGGGAGGAAGCAGGCACCCGTGCATGCCAGGGTGGGGTCAGACCCTTCCCACATCTGGATGACTCACAGGGCATGATGGCGGGGTGGGCTCAGGGCAAAGAGCGAGACCATTTGGAGGGCGACGTGTGGCTGGCTGTGTGTGGGTGTGCCGTGGTGTCTGCATGTGTCTGGCTGTGGAACGCGCTGCAGGAAGGGGTAAGGATGGGCGACTGTGTGTTCAGCTGTGTCGGGGGCCCTGTGGGTACAGTGCTGGGTGTGTCCGCGAGCGGGGCAGAGTCGGGGCTCACAGGGCACAGGCACGTGCTGCAGAAAGTGGTCCGGCGGTCCATGGTCCTGCAGAACACATGGGAGAGTCAGGGGAGGCCAGGGCAGGCCCCCAACCATAACAAGCCTGGGGTGGGGCATTAGAGCTGGGGGGCCCACCTGAGGGGGCTCTGGGAGGGCCAGGTGACTGCGGGCAGGAGGCAAGTTGCCCCTGGGAGCCTAGAGCCAGCGGGCCGCCCGCTGGGAGGTGCTCATGGAGATGTGGCCGGGCCTGGTGTGGACTAGAGGGCCTCTCCCAGGGCCCCACTCAACTGACCTGACCATGGCCAATGTCCTCCAGAGGGGGCAGATTCTCTCCCAACCCAGGACTCTGCAGCCCCCTCGTGAGCGCCATAGCATCCTCACTGAATGACCAGTCACTCCTGTGGCTGACCCCTGGCTCTGCCTGAGGACAATGCCTGGAGAGAAGGGGCTCCACCTTCTTACCCCTGGGCCCCAAGAGCAGAGGAAGGTGATTCCTGAGCATGGCCTCTGGGCCTGCCCTCCACGCTTGGATAACCGCCCCCACGCACATTCTTCTCTATCACCAGCCGGACTCCTCTCCCCAACTCCCTCTCTCACCCACCCACCGGGTCCTCAACCCGCTTAAGGCTCCTTTCTGCCCCAGGCCCTACTTAAGTTCAACATCCTAAGAGCAGCCCAGCAGCCCCCTCCCAAGGCCTCCAGCTCTGCCACCCGGCTCTGTGACCCAGCTGGGTCGGCTCACTCTGATTTCCCCTCTGCCCACACGTCTTCTCCTGGCTACTCGTCACCACCATGCCCACTCTCCAATATCCCCCTCCAGTGGCCCTGCCCCCCAACTCCTTCTGTCTGTACCTCCTTCCCTTCCCAGCCTGACCCCAGGATCCACCACTGTACCCATTCTCTTGCCAATACACTCAATTTCCTTGTTCTTTCTGAAACCCCAGCCCTGGATAGATCCAATTGTCCATCTTCTCCACACCCACCCAGTCCGCTGAGCACCCCTGCTTCCCTCAGGAAACAGAAGGCTGCAGGCATCGGGCTGACGTGACTTCATGTTCAGCCACCAAGCCACTAACCTGCGTGTGACTGCAGCCACTCCGTCCTCTGTCCCTCCTGCCACAGTGGAGGGAGCACTGACCCTCCTGCCCAAGCCAGTCCCTCCTACTGTTTCCACAGGGATCCTACACCCAGCTCTCCTCTCTTATATCCATAGCTCCTCCCTCCACACTGGCCCCTCCCCATCAGCACCCAAACCAGCTCTATTCCTTAAAAAAGGTATAACATGAACCGAGCCCTGTCTGAACTTCACGCCCCCATCTCACTCTCTCATCTCTCCACAGCCAAACTTCTTGATAGAGTTGTCTACACTCCCTGGATCCAGTGGCCCCCGAGGCTGCTCCCGATAAGGTCACAGATGACCTCTTTGTGGATAAATCCCGTCAGCCCTTGGCAGTGCTCAGCTCTATCCGCCTCTCAGCAGCATTGACACGGCTGAGTCCCCCCCTTCCAGAGAAGCCTGTGCATGGACGTGTAACATGCATGCATACGCATGTGTGAGCACATGTGCACACAAGGGCCTATGTGCATGGGGAGGCACGCGTGTATGTACTTGCATGCAAGTGTGCACGTGCTCTGCATCTGTGAATGGGTCATGGAGTGCGTGCATGTGTGTGCACATGTGCGGTGGGTTCTGCGAGTGTGTGCTTTGTGTGTGCATGTATAGGCATGTGTAAGAGAGCATGGGTACACGTGTTGGTGCACTCGTGTGTGTGTGGGAGCTTGTGCTGCATGTATGTGTAAACACCCTCTGTTCTCTGCTGTCGGTGGTTTTCCTCCCTCCCTCCCTCCCTCACTGCTCCATCTTACCAGCTCTGCAGGCTCCCCTCCCGTTGGCCACGCCCTGGCACTCACTCTCCCTGGGCAGGCTCCCCCAGCCTCCTGCTGCCTCAGTGGCTGTTTTAAGGCCGACAATGCCTGGATCCCCATCTCCCGCCCAGACCTCACTCCTGACCCCCAGACTCATACATCCAGCCCACCTCCGGGCAGCTCCCCCAGAAGCCTCCAGGCCCCTCAAACTCAACACTCCCCCACCATGCCTGCTCCTCCGGGTACTACTATCCAGCTGGAATTCCAAGCTGGAACTGGGGCCTTGTCTTCTCCCTCACCCGTGTCCAGCAGGACCACTCTGGCCCCTCAGGTCTGCCCCAACCCCTCCCAGGCCCATCTGCTCTTCTGCATCCTCACGGCCGGCCCCTATCACCTCTGGCTTGGCTTACAGCAGCAGCCTCCTCCCGGGCCCACATCCCTTCCCTGCTTCCACCATCCCAGCCCCTGTGCCTGTCTGTGCCCTGACGGCGGCACTCATCGCCCTGGAGACAGGCCCCGGGCACGGCCGGCACCCCGCAGGCTTGCTCTTATACCGAACCTCTCACCCAGGGCCTGGCACATACCAAGGGCTCCAAGAGGTTTGCAGAATGAACGACAAAGCAGGGGATAG